CAGATCAAACAAGCTCTGAAGAAGCGGTATGACCTTGATGTGGCCAAGGTCAACACCCTGACCAGCCCTGATGGAGAGAAGAAGGCATATATGTGACTCCTGAGCAAGATGCTTTAGATAGTGCCAACAGAATTGGGGTCATCTGAATTGAGTTTACCTAATTCTAAATATAGAGTGTCTTACCAAGAAAAAAAAAAAAAAACCAGAAGGAGAGAAGTAATGAAGGAGTATTTCTACCTCATTTCACTATCTATCATAACATTACCTAGTGATAATTCTGTTCTTAAAAATGGTCACCCTTTTGAGATCACAGTATCTCATTACCCCATGGGGTGCCTCATCCTCTCCAACCCACTAAGACTTAGACTAAAACTGTTCAAACTTCCAGGTGTGGTGGTACACACCTGTAATCCTAATGCCCAAGAAGGTGAGGCAAGAGGATTGTTTTTTGAGTTCATGGCCAACTAGCGTTGAATCAAAAGTACCTAAGCAATGGCACTTGCAATATCACTGGCTGATCATAATTTTGACTTGTGTTGTATCCACCTCATGATTTTGCTCTATAAAACTTCCTTGGAGAGTTGGGCTCACTGGCAAAGCATATGGGGGCCCTCCCATCTCCCCAGAGTCTTTCTTGTTCCCCTTTCCCCTATCCCTATTCCCCATTTCTTTTCTCTAATACATTTTCCTACTTTTAACCTCTGTTGTGGCTTAGAATTCTTTCTTCTAAGAACATGAATAGCATATTTAACATCTAGCATTTCCCCTATTTTAATATGAATTTAAGTGAAAAAGATAAAAGTCACAAGTGCTCCTAGTACTGTAGGCTGCTAAGTTAGTTGCTAACATTACAGGTAGTTAGACAGGGCTGGGTCATGAAGCACAGAAGACAGTTGTGGCCAGAGGCACATTCACTGAAGACCAGGCTTCAAGGCTTCTCCTAGGGATGGACAGCAGCGATGGACACTCTGAATAGGCTCCAATAACCTTGTCTGGGGGACCAAGACCTCCCCAGCCCATTACTTCCTGGAAAATACTTGTTTCATTCCTTGTACACTTGCTAGGTGACTTGCTTCCCCATTTAATCAATATTCCCGAGGTGGCTGTACTTGTTGTAATCTGCTGATTCCCCACAGCTTTGTCCCACCTCACACACACCTTGTGATTTCCCTTGGATCAATAGTATCTAAGTGGCTGTTCTTGTAGTCTTACTAGTTGACTGTAGCTTTGTCCCACCCTATACCTGCCTCCCCTTGGGACTGCTCAATAAACACCCATGAGAAGTGGGGTCAGTGGGCCTCCCACTCGAGCCCCCTTTTGGTTTCTCATGGACAGAAGCTTTCTTTCTCTCAATAAATTCTTCCACTCCTAACCTCTGTTCTTTCTAGAATTCACTCCCCAAGTTTAGAGATGATTTCAGCATTCTGACATCTAGTAAGTTGTAAGTTATTCTGTGGAGATCCATATACCATCCCTGTATCATGTTTCCTATATCACTAGGAAGGAGAACGAGGATGACTAGGGACAGTACATCTTACTATTTTATAAGATGTTAGTGTATTTTACCTTACTATGTGCATGAATTACTTAGAACAATCCAGGCAATAAGAGGTTGTAAGTCTTGGATAGAAAGAAAAAGGAGAGAATAAAGGAAATGAAATGGGACTACAATGTATGAATAAAATACAGCAATATTATTTATAAACAGAAAAACTTTCAAAGAGTCAAATTTGCAGTCAGGCATATTGGTGCGTGCCTCTAGTCCTAGCTTCTTAGAGGCTGACACAGGAGAATCACAAGTTTGAATACATTCCACACAGCTTAGGGAGACCTTGCCTCAAAACAAAAACTGTAGAATTAGATATGTAGCTCAGTGGTAGAGAAGCCCTGGGTGTGATTCCTGAGTACCCCTACACACACCCACTGCCTACATACACTATTTAAAATTGCTTGCTTGCCTCCAGAAAGGGGAATGGGGCAGATGAGAAAGAGAGAACTAAAGTACTATAAGTCTCTAATGCTATTTCTCTTCCTAATTATGTCTGTGATTACTCTGAGGTAAAATTAATGAGGTTGGATATGATCAAACTAACGCAAATGGTAAGAAGGGAAAGGACAGTTGACAACGAGAAGGACTACAGCAAGAACGGAATTGAATAACAGGCTATTTGGAATTCAGCCAGTATTGATTTGAGTGAAACCTGGTGAAGTAGGGGTGATGATTAAAAGAAATGATTATGTTTATTTTCATTAATGATCTGATAAGAAAAGTTAACATCTATTGGGAACCCTACATGCCAGTAAATTTAGTATTTAACACTAAATTTACTTATTAAGTCAAAGGTCCTGAAAACCCTAGAAAGAATTGATTCAAAGAAACCCCGTGTATGAGGATCAGTATATGAAGACCATGAGAGGCATGAAAGGGGCAAATCCAGAGTGTGTTGTTATTACCCTTCCTCCAGGGCAAGCTGGGTCCTCCAGGGATGGGCTCTAATTTCATGTGGTACTTTCCTTTGAATCATTTGCCACAGTCAGAATTAAATAGCAGTCTTCTTAATGTCCTGGTTGGCTCAATACTTCTCAACACTCCCTTTAGACATAGCTGCCTAAGGCGATGGTTGCCTCTCTCCTACTCACCTTACCATCCCTATCTTGTATCAAGTGGCTGCTCTGACAGGCGTTACATAAATACTTGGTAACTGAAAACTGATCTGCAGGGTTTAGATGGCGATTAGTAGGGATTTAAAGAGTTCAGAGATGGGACCAAGGCCAGGTTGCTACTACATGGAGAAGAAAGACCTCCCCAAGATTTTCTGAGGGCAATGCCCATCTGCTAACACATCACTGAAGAAGTCCCTGAATTTGAATTGTGGTTTTTAGCAGATGATTCATCTCTAATTTCTTGTACCATTGGGGATTAAATTGTATATTCCAAAGCCCCAGAGGCTGGTGATTTAGTTGGCTCTGACCTTTGGGGAAAATCTCTTATGCTGATTTGCAAAATCCCCTCCTTGGAGTGGCCCAAGAATAGCAATCTAAGGAAGAAAACCCCTAAGTGCATTTGATAAAAAAGAACTGGTGAGAGCAGACCAAATAGCTCAGCGGATTAAAGCACCTGCAAACTGGCCCACCAGGGCCTGCCATGCGTGCCCCGCCCCTCGGGGCGTGCTGAGACGTCAATTGAGACTGGGCGTGGTGGCGCGTGCCTGTAATTCCAGCTCTTCAGAGGCTGTAAACCGGCAGGTCACAAGTCCAATCTAGTAGTGAGACACTGAACACCCTGTAGACCCTTCCCTAAAATACAGAAAAAAAAAATTTTTGTTTTCTATCACTGAATTTTGTGTGATTTGCTCCACAGCTCCTTCAGATGTCCGGGCTGCCCAGCTCCCAGCTGCTCCACATTTCTGCATCCTTCAGCTCTTCACGCTGGAGCTTGCCACCTTCCACCAAGCCCTGCCCATGGGAAATGCCACCACTTCTTTTTTCTTCTGCATCCTTACTAGTGTTACAAAATCACATGCATGGGCCATGTGACACTCGAAAATGTGTGACACAAGGCAGGGCTTTACTTCATCTTTCTATCCTCTTCTTTGGTTAAGAAGTAACTTTTAATGACAATAGTGCTTTTCTTGCATAATAAAAAAATCATAATTTGATTTTTAAAGATTATCACTATCATACAATAACAAAATCCCTTATCCTCAATGCCAAAATCCAAACTTCCCTGAAAATAAAGGATTTTCTAAACCATTTGGCATTAAAATCAAAGTGGATTAAACATAAGACTCTAGTGTATTTCTTTAAGATATTTTGGGTGAGTATTTGCGTGTTTTCCAGTAGATAGACTTCTTTGTTTTCTTCAGGGTGTTGCCCCAGACTCTGCTGATCATACACCAAATAGATGTCAAAGTTCTTCTATAATTGGATAAATCCAAATTCTAAACCATGCGTGGTGCCAGTAGACATCACCAACTGCCATCGAGTACTGATTCCTCTTCTGCTTGCATCCTCTCGCCTTTTGTTGCTCTCTCCCTCAGGCCTGTGCATACAGCCAACACTCTGTCATCTGCTGGAAACAAATAAAACTTCGGACCACAAGTCGCTGTCTAGTGCTGTCTGTTACCCTTTTCTGAAAGCTTTTGGGGAAAAACTTCACTCACTCTCAGTGTCTTGGCTTTGCTTCTCAAACACTGTCATCTGTGTGTCCCTCAGTGAGCTCAGGACGTGCCACCAGGATTGTACCCGTCAACACCAATGATGCTAAGCATATTCATAAACCTGATTCAAAACTTCTTCCGGCTTTGAACAGTGGCAGTATTGTAGCCAATGAGGTTTATCCGAGGCGCGATTATTGTTAATTGAAATCTTCCGGCTGAAGGAGTCTAAAATTTTTGGCATCCACAAACGTTCTCTTTGTAAATTCTTCTATTTCTCAGATTTGTACACTCTTGTTCTTCTATTGCCTGCCCAAACACTGGAGTTCCTAATGGCTCCACATGTACTACCATTCCTCATTTTCTGTATACCCAAACTGGAAAATAGGGCTGGTCATTACTATGCCGAAGACCAGTGTCGTGCAGACGATACCCCACTCTTCTCTTGCTCAGCGGCTACTCAGTAATAGCAGATAAGGCAAGGTGACTGGGGCTGGGGTTTTTTATTTCTAGGCTGATTACTTTCTAGTTAGGTCTCATTTTCAGGGAAACAGCATAGCCTCCTCTATAGAGCCCAACATTTCTGGAGGCTTAATCATCACCTATATCCTGCTGATTCTCAAAATAATATTTCTAAGTCCAATCTTCCTAGAGTCTGAAAGCCATATATTAGCACCCTATTGGGTGGCTCCAGCTAAACGACCCATAAGTGCTTTAGGCCCTAAACTATCAGGTCCCAAAGTGAACACAGCATCTTCCCTTTGCCGCCTGATTCAGTCCTCTAGAATCCAGATCTCTCAGAGCCATCCCATCCACCTAACCCCTCTTGCCAGAAGCTGGTATACTTTAGGCCCTTCATTCTACTTTCTAGTTCCATATCAAATTAGCCACTGAGTTTTATTCCCCAAATATTTCTTATGTTATACTATGAATTTATTTCTACTTATGTAATCTTGGCCCACAGCCTAATAGGACCACTTTATTACTCTCTCTAGTTTTTTAACCTTGGCTTCAAATTATATTGTGTGCCAAAATGGTTCATTCAAAAGCAGACCTGAGCATATCATTCCCTTGCGAAACACCTTTCAACTGCTGCCTTCCAAAAGCAGAATGAAGTATGGATCTTAAGTGCACAAGGTAGGGCCTTATGGGATACAACACAGGGTCCACCCCAGCTTTTGCTCTTCCTGCACACTGGTATCCACACTCTTGCTCATCTGCCCCTTCTACCCAGAATTGCTTCCAATCTCTTTCATCCAGATAATAGCATTGGCTCCAGAAATTGCCCTGAATCCTGAAATTAGACTCAGTTCAGCCCTTAATCCTCTTACAGAAAAATGTGGGCCGGGGAGATGGCTCAGTAGAATGAGTGCTTCCCTGGCAAGCACAAGGGCCTGAGTTCAATCGTTGGTTCTGCCCTGCCAAAAAGAGAGAAAGAAAGAAAGAAAGAAAGAAAGAAAGAAAGAGAGAGAGAGAGAGAGAGAGAGAGAGAGAGAGAGAGAGAAAGAAAGAAAGAAAGAAAGAGAAAAATGTACCTACTATGTTCTATCATTCTATCACATGAGAGCCTTTATTGAGACTATCTATTCAAAGGTTTTTCTGTTATTCTATACACACAATTTCTCAGGAGGAGAGTCTATCCATATTCACCCTTGTATCATGAGTACTGCATGTCTACCTGAGTTACAGTTGGAACTCAATAAATGTTTGTCAAACAACCAATGGTACGGGCTGGGGAGATGGCTCAGTAGGATAAGCGCTTGACTGGCAAATGCAAGGATCTGAGTTCAATCTCCGGTTCCGCCAAAAAAAAAACAAACAAACAAAAAAAAACAACCAATGGTAGAGTGCACATCCTGAAGCAAATGATGTCACGGCATCATTATCATTCCACCGCTCAAAGGCACACAGTCTCAATTGCATGAATAATGTGACATAAAGTGAGTTTGATGACATGAAGCATATGATGTTCTGGGAGCCCCCAAGTGAAGTACCTAACCCTGGTGGTGAGGGGCAGCAGCACTGCAGAAGTGCCACGGTGAAGACAATGACTGAAAATCACTGTGAGGAAACAAACTGTGAAAGCTTCCCAAGTTCTGCAGGTGCTGGCAAACTGGAGGCGGGCAGATGCATCGGCACTGGGACACGGGTGAATGCAGGTGAAAGAAGGGGACAGGGCAAGGAAGGACCGCACCTCAAGCCTTTGTGAGTCTTTCATGTTTAAGAATTTGACCTTTCAATTAGTCAGTGATGAATTGTTAGACAGTGTTATAATCCCAAGTGATTTTTTTTTTTATTTCTGCAATAATAGTGAAAGGATTGGGGTGGGTCGGGGTGCAACAAGCAGAGGAACTCTGTGAAGTAGTGTTGCAGCTATTTGCGTGCAAGAGCATGGGGCCAGAGCACCGAAGAACAGAGCAGGACTCTGCACACTGTGGCAGCTCGCTCTTCGTGTCAAGGGCTAGGAGATATCAGATGCTCCAGCGATAAACTAGTCTACTGAACAGTGCCAGCTGCCAAGCCCGGCTCAGGCAACTCAGCAAGCCTCGGACTCAAAATACATTTTATAAAGGAAGTTCTTCCTGCTTGGCAATATCTGTCCCCGGTTTTCCTTCTTATCTACCCTTTGGGTTTCCCATGTAAGAGAAGCAATACAATAATTACACTTGTGTGTCCCATTTATTGCACTTAAAATTATGATCCTGAGGTGCATCTATTTATCTAAAAATGGCTCAGGTTGGGTCCAAGAGATAGCTCCAGCTGTCGCCAGCCCATACTTAGTGTTGAGATCTTTATAAAGCAAGACAGTGAGCAACAAGATTGTGAAGCAACGTTAGTGAACATAGAATGAATGAAAATATCTAAATTTTAGGCAAGGTGTAAGTATTTAATTATCCATCGAAATCATCTATAATTTGAATAACTTTTAATATCAGTACTGAAAATGAACATTGCACCTTTTTTCTCCAACCAGTTTAAAATTGGACTGACATTTATTTATTTATTTATTTATTTATTTATTTATTTCAGGGTCTAAAGGGTCTCGCTACACAGATCGGACTCATAATGATCCTCCTGATTTTAGCCTCCCAAGAACTGGGATTATAGGCGTGTGCCACCACGCCCAGTCTCCATTGCTGTCCCAGCGTGCCCCAGGGGCAGGGCTGACAAGGCAAGCTGGTGACTGAACTCTGGCCACTGCACTCTGCATAAGCAGGTACTTTAATAGACTGACATGTAGAACTGCAAGATTTAGCAAATAAAAATAGAGGCTTCCCAGCTCAATTTGTTTCAAATAAAGAAAAAAAGATAGGATAAGTTCCCTAAAGAGGGAAATCCATATAGGGTACTAAAGTCATTGTTTCTGTAATATTCAAATTCACCAATGCATGTGTATGCTACAGCATAACTCTTTTGACCCCAAACATTACCTGCAGATGATAGCGTCCTTCAACAGTATGAAGGTCGTCAAACGCTCCAAAGGCATAAACTTCATCTGACCTGAGCTCAGACATCTGGTAGCTTAGATGACAGCAGAGATCTTTCTGGCAGACTGTGTAATTTCCTGCAATTCCCTTGAGCTCCACAAAGGTGTATTCATCATGAAAGACGGTTCCCTTAAATTCCTGGTTTCCCACTGAGAAGGCGTCAATACTGCTGGCATAAGAAGTCCAATTCACTTTGGGACGGTAGGGGTGGGACTCCAGCTGGGACAGGAGGAGTTTTCCCTCTTTGGTCTTCATATCGTAATGAAATGTTCTTGGAAAATCTGGTGCATAGATTCCACTTCCTGGAAGAAAGCAGTCGAAAATACAGCTATGAAATACTATGAAAGGGTATCTCATAGTTGTTATTGTTATTGTTATTGTAAACCAAGTTACCTTTTTATTTCCTGTAAGTCATATGCTTCACTAATTTTAGTAAAAGTTGTTGATAAGGAGCCAGAGAGTTAAGACAAAATCCAATAAAATATGACACCAGGAAGGAAAAGTTTCAGGCCAAAACAGAATAGGCATGTATATTCAAGTTGACTAAAACGATATCTACACAATAATTTAGATTGAGGTTAATTCTACAGCATGTCACCTGCTAGATGTGTAAAATCCAAGAGCTAGACAGAACACTACATGCCTGCACTTCTGGTTCTCCAGGAGCTGAGGTAGAAGCATCCTGAAGTTTGAGCCCGGGCCGGGCAATTGAGCAAGTCTCTGACTCAAAATACATTTTATACAGGAAGTTCTTCCTGCTTGGCAATATCTGTCCCCAATTTTCCTTCTTATCTACCCTTTGGGTTTCCCATGTAAGAGAAGCAATACAATAATTACACTTCTGTGTCCAATTTATTGCACTTAAAATTATGATCCTGAGGTGCATCCATTTATCTAAAAATGGCTCAGGTTGGGCACAGGAGATAGCTCAGCAGTCTAAGCATCTACCTGGCAAGGATCGGAGCTCTATCCCTGGTATCACATGCTGTGCCAGCCCTGCGCCATCTCAGCCACTGAAACTCAGCATGGTGACTCACTCCTGTTATCCCAGTGCTGGGAAGGCTGAGACAAGAGGACTACTGAGTTTAAGCTGCATAGCAAGACTGTGTAACAAATAAATGAATCTTTCAAAAAAAAAAAAAAAAAGCTTAAGTTTATCCTTCCTAATGACATAACAGTGTTCCATTGTATGTGAATAGTTTCATAAGGGAAGGAGAAGGGAAGGAAAGAAAGTAAAACATAAAAAAGTAAATGGAAGAAAAAATTGGAGACAAAACTTCTGTAAATGGGAAGAGGAAGAAGGGTTGAAGCTGGGAAGGGAAATTGAAAAAAGGAATGAAGATATACTAAGTACAGGGGCAAATTCCCTATAAGGAGTGTGATAATTAGGCATGGCAAACATGTACAGATAAAAAAAAATAAAAGCCGGGTGAGGCAGCGCTCACCTGCAATCCCAGCACTCAGGAGGCTGAGGCAGGAGACTCACTGCAAGTTTGAAATTAGCCTGGGCTACAAAATGAGCTCAAGGCCAGCCTGAACTGCGTAGCAAGACCCTGTCTCAAAAATACAAAAATAAATAAATACCTCAAAATGAGAAGGTGGATGTAGCTCAGAGCAGGAACTTTGGATTTAATCCCTAGTACTAAAAATACATGCATACATACACACTTACATACATATATCCAGATGGAAATGATTGTGTTGGGGAGTACACATCACTAAAAGATGCTCTTGTGAAAGTGAGTCCCACAGTCCCCACATCACCTGTCATTCTCTGCTGAGGGTTGTGTATATTAGAGGCCAGGAAGTTGACCCCCATTCCCAGAGCCCAAGCCGAGTGGAACTCAATGGCTGACAAATGTGGCAAGACGTTCATCCAAGCTGTGGGGAAGAGGACGGTGTCCACATGGCACTTGTCCACCAGCGTGACAGCAGGGTCGTGGAAGAGCACATCAAAACACGTGAAAATGCCAAACTTCCCAAAGGCAGTGTCAAAAGTCACAACCTCAACCTCCTTCGGTGTATCAAATTGTTCTTCACCCATGAAAAGGTTTTGCTGTGATGAACGGAAAATTAAAGAAAAAGATACCCTTTAAGTTATTGACCTGGAAATCACTGTGACTGGCAAAGTGGATGCTCACATCTCATTAGGCAGTGCCAGTTTCATCTGTGAGCTGGGTCTTCTGGGAAACGGAGAGCCAGAGCCTGCCTGCTGGGAGGGAGCCTGTAGTCCAAACTTCACATTACTGATGTGCACTTGACCCCCCCTTATCTCTCACCTCCCGAGGTAAAGGAGTGAAACACATAATCTCTATTTGCCAAGGAGACTTAGCTGTTTCATATGAACAAAGAACATTATTAGATTCTCTTCCTCACGACCAAGTCTGTCTGGTGAATTCCTAAACACACTCAGCCTGAAAGTCTCTCGCCACACCTGGTCATTGCTTCTCATGTTTCATTCCTACTCCATCGCTAAAGCATCCTTATTATCAGCTGTAACAGTTTCTCCCTCTCGCCCACTAACTCACCAAGCATTCAAAGACCTGTTTCTTTGCGCTTTCACTTTACCTTATGGTAGCGGGCCACCAGCTTTCCCTGGGAATCGAACACCACATTTGTGTTGTAATGGTAACGGCCATCCGGGGGACACTGAGGGTCACTGGTGTTGCAGGCCTTCTTGTCGCCTATATTTGCCACCACATAGATACCATTGTTTCTGGCCAGGCAGCTGAGCCTTTCTTGTACTGGAGTGTGGCCAAATCTGGTATGCATTGTTTGGAAGAAAAAATTTAAATCAAGCTTAGCTTTCAACTTAATTCAGAATGATAGTTGCCGTAATCTATTTTTTCCTATATACAAAAATAAATTCTGAATTACAATAGATAGAAGAAGTAAGATGAGAAGGGTGCCACATGTTTATGATGTCAGGGCTGAGGGAGGCTGAGGCTGGCAAATCCTAAGTTTCAACCCAGCCTGGGCAACTCAATGACTTAGAGAGATCCTGTCTCAAAGTTTAAAATTTTAAAATAGGGATGGGGATGTAGTTTGTCATGAAGGCTCTGAGTTCAATCCCCAGATGACAAAAAAAAAAAGGAAAAAAAGAGGAGGAGATAAAGGAAAGAAGGAAGGAAGGAAAGAAGGGAGGTAGGGAGGAAGGAAGGGAGGAAAAGGAAGTTCAGAAAATAATTAAAACCCCCATGCAGTTGAGAATCTGGTTGTACAAAGGTCTTCTTGGAGGCCAGGATATAGTTCAATAGCACAAGCACCAGCCTGGCAAGTGTGAGGTCCTGATTTCGAAAGTCCTCTAGGGTAAGATTCAAGGCTGTATATGTTTTTCCTTCATGGCATAGTACTCTGTATCACAACCTATAATCAATCCATATTCACTTATGTGTTCATCTTTAAATGTCTGCAGCATCATGTAGATATTATGGGCAAAGACCTGCGTAGCCTGCTCATTGAACCCACGCCTCAAAGCAGAGACATTACAGGCAATTCAAATGAGCGAACCAAAACTGGGAACCAGGAGGATCCTGGGAAGAAGGCACAGTAGGAACATCAGGGACCTGGCTTCCTCCCAAGACAAAAGTGCCATTTGCTGAACCTGTCTAACGAACCATTTTGAAACTGTGAAGTCAATTCAAAGGTTCACACCTTCCGGAAGCCTGGGAATGTAAATTGTAGTTCACTTCAGCTGTCAGCTCAGGAATGGCAGGTGATTCCAGCCCCCACCACCTCCAGCCCACGTGGGTCTGTTTCTGAAGGAACCTGTGGGCAACTTCTGGGAACAGGATGGACCAGTAAGGATGCTGTCCTCCAAACGCAGGGCTCTGTGTGCTGGGCACTGAAGCTGCTTCTGTGCAGGACATGCAGATGCCAAGGTGGGCAACAGCCTTGCTCTTACATCCACACTGCCCTGTGTTCAAGCCCTGACTTCCATGTCCAGGTCCGGCAGCCACCACTGTGTTTAAAGAGAGCAGTAGTTTCCTTTGTTTTTTTCCTTTATGTTTTCCTTTTTGGAAACCAGAAGAGAGAAGAGGAGACAGAAGAAATGCATCAACCCCTGAAAATGGAGAATCTAATATCCAAAGCCACAGCATTATAAGATGTAATCAGTTATAAACAATTCATAAAGAACACAAAGACTAACACAAAACAAACCAACAGAAACTGCCCCTGAAAAAGATCAGAGGTAGGTCCACAAGACAGACCTCATGGTAATGATCTTAACAACGTTCAAGGGGCATGTGGACAAAGTCAAGGAAAACGAGTGAGATAGAAACATCAACAAAGAGAAAGCCTAGAAGAAACCAAAAGGAAATTTGGAGCTGAAAATCACTACCATCAAAGTAAAATCAGTGACACTAATTCCAAGATTTGAGTAGACTGTGGGAAGCTGAGGCAAACAGATCCCTCATTTCAGCCCAGTCTGAGCAACTCAGTAACTTAGAGAGAGCCTGTCTTGAAATTTAAAAATTTGAAATAGAGCTGGGGTTGTAGTTCAGGGTGAAGGCCCTGACTTCAAGCAATGATCATGAAGACAAGGCAAGTTAGATTACTAAGTCTGAGAAATGGCAATAAAAGATTGAAGTAAAGGGAATAGACCCTAAAGGACTTGTGAAATGACAAATGGACAAAAACATCTATAGTCAGGTAAACATGAATACATATGTAAATGCACAGGAATTCACAGTATTTGCTATTGAATTTCCACTTGTAACTCTATTTTTTTTTTACAAAGAATATACTCTATTGAGAAAAAAAATGATTAGCTAACAACTAATAATGTTCTATCCCACTTTGTGTTTCTGTATAATTTAAGAGATTAACTCTTTAAAAACTATTAATATGCTTTCAGGTATGCAATGAATGAAGATGTAAACTCATGAAATTAATTGCTGAAAGCAGAAAGACAAAAGTAATAGTTTGAAAAGATAATGGCCAAAAGCCTCCCAGATTTGAACAGGACATAAATACTCCACCATGCTTGACACACTCAAAGCGAGATGAGCACAAAGGCCCAGACTGGAATGTCCCACATTCACATGAAAGTCAAAGAGACAATGTGACTCTCAAAAGCAGGAAGGATAGTGACTCATAACATGCTCAGGCTCCCCATCAGAAACCTGAGGGGAAAGCAGCAAACACACGCAAAGCTAAGTGTGACGTGCTGACAGAAAGCTGTCACCAAGAGTCCTGCAGCCACAAAAACTGTTTTTTAAAAGTGGTGGAGACATTAAGAGATTTCCACATAAATACAAACCAGGGGAACTCGTTACTACAAAACCTCTTCTCTTCTATAAGCAAGAAGTTCTTGCTTAAATGAAATTAACAAGGAAACTCTGTGAGGTGCAATGAAAGGACACTAGCAAGTCCTTTAAACAAAAACTGTTTAAAGTAATAAAAATCTAGATAAACATTAATACGTATATAAATGCACAGGAATTCACAGCATTTGCTGTTGAATGTCCATTTGTAACTCTTTTTTATTTTTAAAAAGAATTCATTCTATTGAGAAAAATGATTAGCTAACAACTAATATTATTTTACCCCACTTGGTGTTTCTATGTAATTTAAGAGATTAACTCTTTAAAAACTATTAATATGCTTTTAGGCATACAATGAATAAAGATGTAAACTCATGAAATTAATTGCTGAAAGAAGAACTATATAAACAATTATGTTACTGAGGTTAGCACAAGTCTAAAGCCATACCACCCTGAACTGCCCAGTCTTGTCTGAAATTGACATGAGGTCACACTTCAGTGACCTGTCTAGATACAGCAGAGCTATCTTACTAAGCCCAGAATCCATCTTAATTGTCACAGGAACTATGGTGGAAATAGCTGCAGGATACATGGAAAAGCAAGAAACTGAAATTGTGTTATGCGTATTATCAGACCATAGTGCAACAAATTTGGAAATCAACAGCAAAAAACAACAAACAACTTAATAAACACATGGAAATTAAATAGCATCCTCTTGAATAACCAACGGAACACAGATGAAATTAAGTAAGAAATTAGACAGTTTCTACAATGATGTAATAATGACAACACAACATACCAAAACTGATGGGATGCAAGAAGAGCGATTTAGCAGGGAAATTTCTAGTGGTGAATTTCCATATCAGAAAAATAGAGCCAGCTGAGATAAACAACCTAATGTTGAACCTCAAGCTTTGAGAAGAAGAGTAAGTCAAACCCAGATCTTGTACAAGGGAAAAATTATAAAGATCAGAGCAGAAATTAATGCACTTGAGATTAAGAAAACAATACAAAGAATTAAAGAATGAAAGAGTTGGTTCTTTAACAGATGAAATAAATAAAATTGACAAAACCTTGGCCAACTTAATCAAAAAGGAAATAAAAAAAATCAAATTCATGCAATGAGAAATGAAAAGGATGAAATTGCAACAGACCCTACAAAAATCCAGATCATCCATCCCTACTTCCAGAACTTGTACTGTAATAGAAATCAGAAGACATGGACAGATATCTAGATACATATAAATTACCAAAGCTGAGTCAGGAAGATATAAAAATTCTAAATAAACCAATATCAGTCAATGAAATGGAAGATGTAATTAAAACTCTACCAATAAAAAAACAACCAGGCCAGGAAAGATTCACTACTGAATTCTACAAGAAATTTAGAGAGGACTAAATGTTGCTACTTCTCAAACACTTCAATTAAATTGAAAAGGAAACAATGCTCCCTAATTCATTCCTGGAGGCAAGTATTACCCTGATACTAAAGCCAGAGAAACACACAACCTGAAAAGAGAACTACAGGCCCATCTCCCTAAGAAACACAGATGAAAAAGTCCTCAATAAGACATTGGCAAGTAAAATACAGTATATCATCAAAAAGATTATATACAACATGACCAAATAGAATTCATCCCAGTGATACAGGGATGGTTCAACATCACACAAATCAGTAAACATAGTGCACCATATAAACCAAGCCAAGGACAAAAGCCATATAATTACCTCAATAGATGCACAAAAAAAATTTGAGAAAGTCCAAAACATATTTATGATAATATCCCTGCAAAGAATTAGAATAAGTTGCCTTTATCTCCATCTGATTAAAGCCGCCTATGACAAACCAACAGCCAACATCACACTAAAAGGTCAAAACCACAAAGCTTTTACTCTAAAATCAGGAACAAGATCAGGATGTCCCATACCACCACTCCTATTCAGTGTAGTTCTGGAAGCACTAGCCAGAGCAATTAGACAAAAGAGAGAAATGAAAGGAATAAGGATTGGAAAGGCCAGGGAAGATAGCTCAGCAGCTTAAGTGACTGCCTGGCACAAGATCCTAAGTTTGATCACTGGTACCATAAAAAAAAAAAAAGCAGGATCGGAAAGGAAGTGAAATTATCATTATTCACAGATGCCATGATACTTTACATGGAAGACCCAAAAACTCTAACAAAACACTTCTAAATAATAACCAAATTCAGTGATATAATTGGATAAAAGTTGTTTTGTTTTGTTTTGTTTGTATTTTAGTACACGGTCTACAGGATCTCACTACACAGACTGGACTCATAGTGGTCCTCCTGTTTTCAGCATCCCAAGCACTGGGATTACAGGCATGCACCACCATGCCCAGTCTCAGTGCATGCTCTGGGCATGCG